GGGGGGGTCTTGTGGGGGGCTGATTTGAACTCATACAAGATATTCTATTGTTGTAATGGCAATGGGTCAGATCCAACATGGTCACCTAAACCCAACTAAGGCCAATCCAATGCTAACTTGATGGGGTTGGGTCAATGTAGGTTTTCCATTTAACTCCACACACTCACATTCCTATATATATATATCTATATATGCATTTAGATCAGCTATCAATACTCGACTCCCAAAGTTTCGGATTTTGCTAAGACTCACCACAAATCTCGATCAGTGAGAATTCAGATTAGCTGAATGCAATGGTTGTTCAACAGGTTGTGGAACCAATGATGAGGTTCCACGTAAAAAGTGCAAGCCCCATATATTTAACAGAGAAGTACAGACAAACTCAATGCAGATTTTTGATTTCCACTGCAGCGTTATAAACATTCAAAATGTCAAAAACCCCCACTCTATATACCAATGCCCACCCTAAATTGGCCTCAATTCCAAGCTGCCAGTTTGACACCCACCCCAATTGTACTTTGGCCCTAAAAATTCTAACCCGCTGAACCGTCACCATATTTAAATATTAACGTATCATTGGATCCACAGCCAGTGGTAAAAAAAGAGTTCGGCTTCAGCCAGGGCAAAGCCCGTTCAAGCAGTCTTTACTGCCTTGCATTGAGAATATCTCTCCAGTTGTGTACTTTATTTCATGCGGAGATATTCTCAATGAAGATTGCAAAAGGGTGTTAGAAGGGTGTGGGCACAAGTTTGCTGGAAGCCGATCTCGTAAGAAAAACCCGCCGGGCGGAGCCCGATGATGGGTCAAATTGCTATTTTTACAGCAACCGCATATTGGGAGCATCTCTCTTGTCATTATGAGAGATGTTCCCGAATCCCGATGTGCCATTGCTTGTTGGGACACAGTTGTGAGCGTTAGTCCGTAGCTGATGTGAACGCGGACATCAACACAGACACAGGCTGCGGAACGAACGTGGCCAAAGTTTTCTCAAACGTGATAATGGGCAATGTGCCTGTCTGAGGTCCAATTGCTATCATGGATATGGCCACAAAAGGGCCCAATTTTTTTGCTAGAAAAAAGGCCCATTAAGAACCCTAAATAATTAAGCCCTTCTCGGCCCTTCGACTTACCTGTTTATTCTATTCCCGGCAACACAGAGGTAGAGGGAAAAACGGAGAGAAGAAATTCTCTCAGTTCTCTTCTTCGATGGCTCAAATTCCCAACTTGGAAAATTCTCCTATTAATCTCACAGCACTCAGGTAGCTGACTTGAACTTAATCAGTTTTTCAACCAAACTCATGAGTATAATAATTTACTGGTATTGTTTTTTGTCGTAATTCAGAGATCAATCTCAGAAAGAGCTCCTCAACATTCTGAAGAATGTGAGACCCATTTCACTCAAACTCGTTTCTTCTGCTCAAATGGTTTATTTTTCCCGAATTTCAAGTTTCTTTTTTTTTTGATATGCAGATTCGTGGGAAGAAATGTCTGGTTCTCGATCCCAAGTTGAGTGGATCACTTTCATTGATCGTACCAACATCTGTCCTTAAGGTTGGTTTGTTTATTTTCTATTTAGTTGTTATTTCTTTTCATGGTTTGTGATTTGTGTGGGTATGGAATAGGAAAACGGGGCGGAGCTGAGACATCTTTCGGCAGAACCAGTTCAAACTGAATGCACGAAAGTAATCTATCTGGTTCGTTGTCAGATCGATTTAATGAAATTGGTTTGTTCGAACATTCAGAGTGATATCTCAAAGGGACTTCAGAGGGAGTACCATCTTTATTTTGTCCCCCGTCGGACTGTTGCTTGTGAGAAGGTCAGCTTTAATCTGGTTTGATCAGACGATGTGACTGAATATATGATTCTATGAGTCATTATATTCTTGTTGTAATCTGGAATTTCTTGGAATCTTAATGTCTCACTTATAGCAGGCAATTGTGCATTGGAAGATTTTTTTTTTTTTTTTTTTTTTCCTGAAAAGAAAAAAACATCTTGTTACGGGTAATTCCCCTAGAGTTAATTTTTTAATCTCCTAAGAAAGGAAGTTTCACTAATCTTGCAGATACTCGAGGAGGAGAAGGTTCATCAATTGGTAAATATTGGGGAGTACCCTTTGTACATAGTTCCACTGGACGAGGATGTTCTTTCTTTTGAACTCGATATGGCTTTGAGGGTATGCTGGTATTATGCTTCTGGATTCATTATGGGCTTATTGTCTTAAGAATATCTAACTTCTGGCCTTTGATTCTTTGCACTTAATAGGAATGCCTTGTTGGTGGTGATACAAGCTCCCTTTGGCATATTGCTAAAGCCATTCATAAGCTTGAGGTTTGTGCTACTTTTATGCGAAGTACTTTTTGGTGTTAAGTAGACCGACAAACATAGGTTTGTGCCTGAAGTGCAACACTTTAGGATCTTTGAAGCTTGTTGTAGTTCTACATCTGTTTCCAATTTATCTCTGACAATTGGGTGAAGTTCATACTTATGGTTCTGTGAACGACCATCTGATTTGGCAATTCTTTTGGGCTTGACCAACTTCCTTATGGTTACATGTTAACTGTTGCATAGGTTTGGTGAGATTAATTATTGATATCATTGAATTGGTAAAATTATTTTGTGAAGATTCATTTCAACCTTAATTCTCATAAAGTTTTTAATTTAATGGGCTTTTACCTTATGGATTGTTGACCCATTTAATTGTTATTGGATGAAATAGAAGTCATCCATATCCTCTTTGTTTGTTTTGAGTGTCTGTGCTTGTCCCATCCTTAACTGAAAGAAAACATTCTGATGTTGTGGGAGGTGCTTAATGTGGAAGGCTGGATTGAATTATCAATGGAGAAGATTGAGACCGTGGAAACCAATTCCAAGGTGTGGAATAAGGAAAAGTGTCAAATTTGGGTTTTTGGGTGAAAGGAAGATTTGCTTTTGTGTTAAATTTGTGACACTAATGGAATTGAGGAATCTAGGAATCTTCAGGGAGCTGTTGCTTAATCTAGCGCAAACATGAACATAGGGAGATTCTGAGTCCTTGTAAGGTTGGAAATTTGCTGGAGCAGAACCGTTCTGTGAAGATAGATAAAGAAAGTGACATATTCATCCTGAACCTGAAAAAGGAAGGGTGGTGGAGGTAAAGGATTATGACTTACTAGCCTTGTGGGAAGCTTGTGTATGTTTAGTGCAAAGGTTTTATCATGTCAAATTAGTTAGACATTTGGGTAAGAGGCTTCAATAAAGGGTCAACAAATGCTTGTGTCAAATGAGTACCTAGAAGGATAGAAGAGATAAGGCATGGTGGGGGATTGAGAATTGTAAGGTTGACTGGGAGAAGGCATATGATAGAACATTAAGATCTACTTCAGCATGTTATGAAATTAGTGGTCTTTGCAATGATTGGGAAGAGGGATCAAGGGCTGTGTAGCTTCTGCCTACTTTTCAGTACCACTGAATTGGCTTTCTATAGGCTTATTCAACTCCTTGAGGAGATTTTGCTAGGGTTGTCAGTTTTTTATCCTTTTTCACTTTGCTGGTAGATATTCTCAGTTTTTTGTTTTTGTTTTTGTGGTAAAGGAATAGGGGCTTAATTTGGTTAGTTGGTTGGGTGCTATCAGGTAACAGTGTGTTTGCAGTTTGACAATGATACCATTCTTCTTGGAGGTGAAATATGACAATGCTGGATATAAGTGGTATTATCACTTGTTTTTTAAATTATTTTTTATTTTTTAAAAGGTAGAGTATTGTATTATGTATCAAATATACGATCAGCCCCGACCCCTGTACAATGAGAATTTGTACTAGAGGAGGCCCAATGTCCCCAAAACAAACCCAACCAGCAAGAAGATACATAAAACTATTCAAAAGAAAATCCCTATCAAAAAAGGAGCTTTTGTGTCTAGCTTTGAATAGAGAGTGATTAGCCAACCATGAATATAACATGCCCAAAATTTTTTTGAGAACCTACAAGTCCTTCTAAGTCCAATGTTCTGGTTTGGACGATGGTCCTTGACAAATGCCTTTCCAGATCCAATCTTGTGAGGCGGGGCATTGAAATTTTGGATTTATCTTGTGGTCTTTGTGGATTTGCTACAGAAACTACAGATCATCTGTGTCTTCACTGTCCGTTCTCCTCTCATGTTTGGATGCATTTTCTCAAATCAATGGGTATCAGTTGGGTCATGCCTAGGTCGGTTAAGGAGCATCTCTGCAGCTGGAAAACTAAAGGCCTAGGTAAGAAAGGGAATTTGATGTGGAAGACAATCCCTGCTGCTGTCTTGTGGTCCATTTGGGCAGAAAGGAATAGTAGAATTTTTTGTAATTCAGAGAGCAGTGGGCAAGTTGATTTCTTGGATTTCTACTTCTGAGGAGTTCAGAAATCTAAATTTGTCTTATTTTTTTCAGTCTTGCTCCTGGTGGAGGTTGTAATTCTGGCTGTTTTCAGACTGCCTTCCTGGGTCTGATTTCAGTCTGTAATTGAGTTTGGTTTGAATAAATTTACATTACCTTTTACAAAAAAAAAAAAAATGAGAACCTCCTCTTTTGAGTTTTGACCCACTTCAAAAATTCTAACGTTCCTTTCACACCAAACTGCCCAGAACACTGCCGCAGGTATAATGTTCCAGACTACTCTGCCAGCCTTACTTAACCCCTTTAGCCACCAAGCAAAATGAAGCTCTTCACATCAGCCGGAAAGAACATCTTTGCCCCAAAAAATTTTCAATATTTTTCCCCAAATCCATTTAGTGAACTTGTAGTGGATCAGAAGATGGCTTGTGGTTTCCACACTTTTGTTACACAAAATCCTTCACCTGTATATCTCTTCTAACTAGGTTTTGTCTTGTAAGGGTTTTATCCAGCACTGATGACCACACAAAGAAAGCCAACTTTGATGATACATTCCTGATCCATATCTTCTTGTCTGGGAACTCAGCGTCTTCCTTCCTTCGTAGGTTGTTGTAGAAGGATTTGACAAAGAAGACCCCTGAATTCTCAAAAATCCATTTCCTTTTGTCCTCTAGAGCTCCATAATCTAACACTATACAGAGTCTGCAACAATTTTATTAGAGAATTCACCTCCCAATCATTCAGATTCCTCTGGAATTGAGGATTCCAAACACAGCCCCCATCTTCCTTTCCAAGTAGTCTGCCACTGTTGCATTCTTGTCCACTGCGGTCTCAAAGAGATCAGGATATCTGTCCTTAAGAGGTCCATCGTTACACCAATGATCCTTCCAAAAAAGGACCGTTTGACCATTACCAATTTCGTACTTTATTCCCTTCAAGAAAAGCAATTCTAATTTTTGGATTGCCTTCCAAATTGAGCAACCATATGAAGATCTTATGTTCTCTATCTCCCAATCTCTTGTGCTAGGCCCATACTTGGCTAAGGTTAGCCTCCAAGGACTAGCCGGCTGATCATTGAGCTTCCATAGCCATTTTTCTAGCAAAGTGATGTTGACTTCCTTTAATTTTCTGATGCCCAGGCCCCCTTGATCTGTGGACCTGCAAACTGTCTTCTATTTCACCAAATGACATTTGTCTTCCTTCTTCTGCCCCCTCCACAAAATTCCCTCATCTTTGTTTTGAGTTATGTATTAAGATACAACTTATAAAAATTCAAAATAATTTGGTCATTACTTACAGAAATCACATCAGATTTGCAAGATGTTGCATTCGGTTGGCAGGTTATTGAAAATCCTTTCTAATATACCAAAACCAAGACATATGAACAAGGTCTTTGGAATAGCTTCATTCTCAAGGTGGCATGAAGCGTATGTATTAGGAGTTAGGACTTAGGTCCCAAGATAAAATAATAGCAAGACTTATTTGTACTTAAAATTTGATATTTTTTAGATTCATTTTTTCTTATTGTTCACCTTCCTAGTTTAATGTTCAACACGGATTGGGTGAAATTCTCAAATTTAATACCAAGAACCTGTAAGCAGTTAAGCTCGTTTTCTTAATCACTTTTTTTTTTCGATAAATTACTTTTTTTTTTTTTTAGAAAGGTAACTATTTCATTAAGAGCAAAAAAAGGAAGTAGATGAGTTGGTGTACAAAAGGAGGGGCTAAAACAAAAAAACAACTAAGCCAACTAAAAAATGAGGAAGACTATCTGCACTATACAAAACATTCCTCTCTGTACCAGATTCGCTAACATATCAGCTCTTTGATTGATTTCTCTAGGAATCCATCTGAAGTTCCATCCACTGATTCAAGGGAAGAGGTAAGTTCTCTAATTTGAAGAAAATGATTCAGATGCCAAGGGGTGTTAATTACTTTATTCCCAAAATGGGCTCTTGAATACTACAACGGACAGCATAAGATATTAGGATTAGCCTTCAACGGGGCACAACTTGGTCTTTTTATGATATAATGTCATGGAGATTCATGTTATCTTCAAATATTTGTAATATTTAACTTCTTAGTCTTCAGAAAGTAAAAGCAAAGCTTCAGAAAGGATTTCTAGAAAGTTCTAGTTACCTCTTTGAGGAATGGTGACAAAGAGACTCTCTTTTTTCCTTTTTAATAAATATTTTGTTTACTATAAAAATAAGAGATTCATTTGCCTGACTTATATTGTTGGTGGCATATCTAATAAAACATGCATATCAGCATATGATATTTGATCATTACTTCACTAGGGTGGTTTACTTGATTCCATCTATTTGTAATCATGTAGTTCAATAATTCCTCTGCACTAACCTTTTCTTTTGTTATATTGCAGTTTTTGTTTGGGGTAATACCTAATGTGAGGGCTAAAGGGAAAGCATCAGCACGAGTTGCTGATCTCCTAAACCACATGCAAGTGGAAGAGCCTGTTATCTTGTCAGATGTAACTATATGTGGCTCTTTATCTTGTTTTATTTGATTATTGCTTTTTTGATGGATTAACAGAGTGATTGCTAATAAATTACTTCTCTCTTCAGATGGGAGCCCCGGAGATAAATACACTCATCCTGTTAGATAGAGAGGTAAGTTTCTTGTTAAACTGTGGTTGAAGGACAAAGCTACTTATCATGACAAGCTCTTACAGAAATCATTTCATTTGACTTCTCTGTGCTACTTATATTGCCTGAACTCAATATCATACATTAAAATGATTTGAATATGAAAAGTTCAGACTTGCAGTTACTGTTGGAGAGTTTCTGCAAAGACCTTTGGTTGGGAGTTGACCTGTAAAGGATAGATTCCCATCTCTTTACTCCACCACTGCTCAAACAGAGAAACCAATTTCTCATCATGTCCTCTTCTCAGATCAAGGACTGGCTTGGGATTTTGGTCTTAGGCAAGGCATTAGAGATTTTGAGGTTTTTGAGATTATGTCAGTCCTTGACCTTCTAAAAGAGGTTTCTCTTCTGGACTCTAACCAAGATTGTAGGGTTTAGACTTTGAACTCTAATGATCCTTTCTTCTGTGCTTCCTTTTTATGGCGCTCAGCCTTACTCTTTCCTCTCTAATGGGCTTTCTTGTGAAGGCTTTGTAAAGAGGTCCTGTACCACTCAAAATTAGGGCTTTCAACTGGGAAGTATATCATGAAAAAATTAATATCTATGTAATGGCCCAAAGAAGGACACTATTGGTGCCTCTCACATCATATGCCTTCTTTGTAGCAAGTGATGTAGGTTCTTTCCACATGCTAATGTTCTGCCATTTTGTATCTTGTATTTGGGAGCTTTTTCTTCTCTTTGTTTGGATGCAGGTGGCATCCTTGGGAAAATGGCAATTGGCAAGTTTGTTTGGTTTACCCTTTTTCTTACAGCCAAATAAGAGGAGCAAGATTATGTAGAGGTGCATCAGGGCAACAATCTTGTGGTGATTTGCGAGGAAAGGAAATGCAAGGCTGTTTAGAGACAAGAATTAAAGTATTGAAGCTATCATTGAGAACGTGGAGATCAAAACAGCCGATTGGGTTAAGATGATGGATGCCTTTGAACATTATACAGCTGATGATATAATAAGGAATTGGCATCAAGTGGCATCTACTTCCATGGCTAGAAGAGTGCAATCACCACAATGGTTTTCTCAAAGTCCATACATGATTAAACTGATGGGGTGTTCAACAATATGGTTGTTTTTGTTTTTGAAAACAAAAGTAACTGCCGTGTCAGTGAAAACAATACAACTTCGCTGATGTTGCAGTTGTTTTTATTTTCAAAAACAAAACCAACCATGTTGTTTAAGGGAGAGAAATTAGATAAAAGTTAAAGAATTACATTGAAACAACTGATGACACTAACACATCAAGAAAATCTCATCTTGTAGTCTATAACCATATTTGTAATTGCCAGAAGGATTCAATAGAGTTCTTGATGTTTCAATTTTGCAAAGAAGTGGAACTCCAAAAGGATGCCCAAATCTCAAATTCTCAGAGTCAATGAATTCAGAACCATCTCTGACTTGATAACATTCAAAAGTTTCTAATGATATGGATTGCTAGCAAAGGCACAGTATAGAATGCAACAGGGAGAAGTATGGATTCCTGTAAATAAAACAGACTTACATTGTGCTTGAGCGAAGAATTTTTCTCAGTTGTTCTCTTTTACATTTTTTCAATTGTCTTTTCACGAAGCATAGTTTTTTTCCATTGTGAATGCATTGTCCAACTAGGTCTTAATTGGCATTTGCTTACTATTTATTAATTGTAAATATTATTGTTGCTGAAATTTGTTCAAGATTTTTATGGCTTCATATATTCTGTCACTGGTTTCAGGTGGACATGGTTACACCTATGTGTTCTCAATTAACATATGAAGGGTTGCTGGATGAGGTACATTTTTGTGAATGTTGAAGTTATCACTTATAAGCATGCTGTAACTCTTGCACAGTTATGTTACCATTAAATCAAATAACAATGTTCATCTCTCACCATAAAATCATCGGATAACTAGTTACCTTGCCTTAGTGAACTTTCAAAACCCGAAAGGCAAATTAAGATGGAACTTATTACATTTGTTTCTGCTGTATAATACCTTTTTCCCTCTTAATGCTCCCCTCTCTCTTCTTTTAAATTGAAAATTTTGCTTGTATGGGTCATGGGTGAACTTGACTGTGTAGTTTCTACCAGAGGGATAAATTTTGCTTATCATTCTAGATGTGTCATGAGCTTTCTCTGGCTGTTCCAGTGCAGTTTTTGCGTGTCAACAATGGTTCTGTGGAGCTTGATGCATCTATCATGGGTGTTCAACAAGAAGGTAAAAAGGTGAAGGTTCCTCTTAATTCAAGGTAAGAAACTACGTGTATGTTCTGTAATATATTTTAGGTTTTTAATATACTGTTTGTTTCTATTATTCTGTCTTCTTGTTTGCACTTTACTGTTTTTTCCATGAATTGTATGCATCATTTTTGTTTTACTTGTTCTTCAAAATATTTTGTTTTTTTACATGCAAAAATAAAGGTCTATATTTGCCTTCTGTTCATCTACATTTTTTTGATAATTGAAAAGTTACTTCATTACCAAAATGTAATTAAATTTACAGCATCCCAAAGAGAGGCACGAGGTGCTACCTCTCTTGAAAGTAAAAGTAAGTGTAAGAGACCACAATACACTATAATCAAATCATTACAAGGTTGCCCAATACAGATGTTCCCTCAAGACCCCCTGTTTAGCGAGGCTATCAGCCATAGCATTTGATGACCTTCTCACCCAACATGAACTAACATTCATGTTGCTTGTTAACCAGCTTGCCTTCTTTAGGAAATCCTTGTAGCACCAAATTACTGAGCTTGGGTCTGTTAACCAGCCCACAACCACCTTAGAATCTCCTTCAATTAGGAGATGCTCCACTTCTATTTCTTTAGGAAATCCTTCTGTTCATCTACATTTTACCTCTTTCTTTTCTTTTTTTTTTTCATTCTTTTACCTGGTTTAATAAAGAAGCATATAAAACATGGGGTCAATCAACAGAAGATCCCAAAGAACTCTTTCCAATGGCATATAACCTCTTTTTTCAATTTTCTGTTAGAATAACTACAAATGAAGTTTTTTTTGCCTCTCTGATAGTAAATCTGTCTCTTCTCCTTTGTGCTTGTCCTACAAACATGACATACCTTACTCTTTCCTTTTCTTCTGGAACTTTCTTAAATGTTTGCCATTTATTATCTCTGCATTTTTTTTGCAAATATTTTGTTCTTATTTTTTTGAGAAATACATAATTGATGTTGAATTGTTCTCTTTTGTATATTTATTTCAGTGATAAATTGTACAAGGAGACAAGGGACCTCAGCTTTGAAGTTGTTATTCAGGTTGATTGATTTTTACCAACCCACTTGTCTTTAAATGATATCATCTCTTACTCTTTTGACATATGTACTTTTTAGTTTCCTGTTTTTTTCCTTATGATCATGTTAGCTTTCATTTCCTTCTTGGGAGTTCTATGTGTGCCTATATGCAGTATGATTGCAGGTTCTGCGTCAAAAAGCAACGTCTATGAAACAGGATTATACAGAGATGACAACTACTGTAAGTGATTAGGGCAGCACTGGGAAACTTATTTTCATTTATTTTGTTTTTTAAGTTTCAAGGAAAAGATAAATACCTACTGCCTGCATTTTTTAGCCTGTAGATCTTTCTTTTTGATTGATGATCAATCAAAGTTGTGCCTTGCATCCCTTTTTGTAGGTTTGCTTCCTATCTACCCCTTATGTTTTGGAGCCACCCCCAAAATAGTTGATTTCTATAGGCTCCTTGTCTAGACAAGGCATCGGCCATACTATTGACACATCAAAGTGTCCAATGAAATGTAGCATTCAGTTAAGCTGCCACTTTTCTAATTTCATGCATAATATATCTGTATCTCCATGTACCCATTGTATTACATATGAACTAGATAACCACTACTTTAGAGTCACTTTCCACCATGATACTATATAATTGAGGTTTTTGCCCAATCTTAAATTGTATAGAACTGCCATAAATTTTGCCTGCCTTTTGAATCTTCATCATGGATGAAATTATATTAGTAAGAAAGTAAAATAAATAAGATCCATTGGCTTCCAAAAAAATCCAAGTGCAGCATACAAGTCACCAAAGGGGCTCCTCATAACAGAAGTTCATCTAAATTGGACGTTAGGGCCCAAAAGAAAAAACATTCCTCACACCCCCTGTTGCTAGAATGTTGGTGGTGAAAATGTCAGATCTTGGAACCTATCTCAATGAGGGTTCAACAAAAATAAGGCAAGCCGGTCATGAACTGGGTACTGGAACCAATTATCTGGTGATAGAACCAAAAGGTGTTAGGCACCAGTTTCCCATGTAAAAATTGGTCTCTGCTAAGATTATTCCGCTCAATAGTTCTCCACAAAACTGTCATAGAAATTGCCTAACAGAAATTGAAGCAAAATATCATGAGCATGCAAAATTATTCGGATAGGAACTAAATTCTAAACATGCAAGAAACCAGACCTTTACCAGAGAAAATTCCAACTAGAACATGCTCAGAATTGAATCTAAAAGTTATCAGCTTTAAGAAAAAGCAAACATTCAGATTTAATAAAATGTCAACCAAAACTAGTTCAGAAGTATCAAAATTTAGAAACCAGAGTATGCAAACCTGGAATAATGATTAAAGCAATACTGATCAAAAAGTAGAATTGGTAAATCAATTTAAAAAGCATAGGTTGGGACCTATACTACTAGAAAGAAGAAAGCAAAATAAAAATAAAATAAAGTAAAATCTTTGAAGAACTCAATTCTAATTAATTAGTTGAATAGAAACATCATTTTTTATTAAAAAGTCGTATAGAATTCAACATGATGAAGCAAACAAAAATTGATCTTTAAATTGGATAATGGGGAGAACATGTGATTCTGGAAGGACACTTGGTGTGGTCATCACCTCTCCATGCATCCTATCCGGCTATCACACATCTTTGAGATAGCACAGGATCGGGATTCCACCATTAAGGAAAGCTATGAAATTATGGGAGACCAAACCATTTGGCTCCCTCGTTTGAGGAGGCACATTTTTTATTTGGAGGCTTATCAGCTAAATGCTCTGCTCCAGCAGCTTAGTTATTATCAATGTCCAAGCAGTATAGCAGGTGATGGAATGTTAGCAAAGATGGAATCTTCTCTGTTAAGTTGTCCTACAATAAACCGGTGGGGGGGATGATTCTGATGTTCCATGGAAATGGATTTGGAGTTTAGGGGCCCCATCGGAGGTGGTCTTCCTTTGGACAGCCATAAGGGACAATATCCTAACAATTAATAATCTCTGGGTGAGAAGTTTGTAGATTGAGAATCTGTGCTGCTTGTGGAAGTACAGAATCAGTGGGGCATTTGATAGTTCATTGCCCCTTCACATTCAGGATCTGGACTGACTTCCTACAACTTTTTGACAGAACTTGGGTGCTCCCAAGTACCTGCAGCAGCTGATGGCCTATTGACCATCTCAAGGATTTAGTAAAAGGGGCAAGCTCATTTGGACCCTTATACATCTAACCATATATTGGAAACATGGCTGGAAAGAAACAAGTGTATTCTTGAATAAAAGGAATCCAGTTTTGAAACTGTAGTGGGGCGAGTTAAAAAAGATATAGTCAGCTGGGTGTGCCTTCAAAAAGAATCTGCAGGTGTTAAACGGCAAGATTTCAGCGATGGGTGGAGTCAAATCATTTGGGTTAATGACTATCCTTAATTTTTGCAATTTTGTATTATTGTATATACAAATACTTACAATGAGATGATTTGGGGCTGATACATGTATATATGTAAAGGCTAGATGCCTAGATCCCCTCATGGGGTGTTATGGACACACTGCCCGGCAGCGCTGCACAGCAGCCCGGCAGTGCGCCGCACGCACCGCCTAGCAGTGCGCAGCAC